TGTGCACTGTGCCAGATAATCATTTTGTCGTTATTGTACAGTTTGCTTCTTATCATTTCATATAAAATTGAAAAGTGGCATAGAAATAAAATATATAATAAAACAATGTGTTATATAAAATTTAATTTATTTAATAATACATATTATATTACTTGCAACTTTGCATAACTTCCTTATTAATTTAAAAAAAAATTATGTACAAAAAAATAAATTATACTGAATTGAAATAGAGCAAAAAGCCTGGCTAAATATATGTTTCTTTGATTTTCCTTACGCAAGAGTGATTACAGCGGTACCAGACCTAGGGAAATTGCTGCAGTTCTTGGGAATTAACTACCACATTGGGGAACGAGAACAATGTAATTGTGGACTATTGTTATTGAGAAGGAAAATTATAAGAAATTAAGTCGTATGATAAGCAAAAATGAAGGGAGGGGGACATTTGCTTCGACGCTCTCGATAAAATGGAGGAGCTGATTAAAACTTTTTATCAACCTGATCAGTGGCCTAGTAAAGATTAGTGAAGTCCGGGGCGGATCAAGACTTTTGCCACCCTCACCACGAAAAAACTCCGCCCCCCCCCCCGTTCCTACGCCACTGACCCAAGTTATAAGCTTAGGACTGGTAGACATTTAAATGTAGACCTAAAAATTTAAGACCATAAATTTGAATAAAAGCCGCATCCTTTTTAGGTGCATTAAATTCTTCTCTCTTTGACACGGCGCATGTTTCTTGTGACAAAGTCCGCGATTTGGCGGTGACTATGGTAGGTTTGTCAGCGAATAGCTTATCGGTAGACCTCTTTTTCGGTGACTTTGGTCTTTTGGCGGTGGCGGCAATAGGCGTTTGTGGACCCGTCCCCAAGGAGGCGGTGACTATGAATATGCCGTCCCCTGAGCCTGAGTTTATTTGACTGATATAGATCCCCTTTGTTTATTCACTAGTTAACTTTTCGTTTATATATATAGTATTACAAAATTTGGCTTTAATAGGAACTTCTGACAAATTATTTACACTTCCCCTGAGCCTGAGTTTATTTGACTGATATAGATCCCCTTTGTTTATTCACTAGTTAACTTTTCGTTTATATATATAGTATTACAAAATTTGGCTTTAATAGGAACTTCTGACAAATTATTTACACAATGAGACTTTTTTGGTGTTGTCACGCTGCTTGATTCGATTTAACAACAAGTAAACATTTAAGCAGAATTGTATCCATGGAGATGTAAGTTCACTACTGTGGAAAAACATTTTGTAGAAAGGAAATGTTTTTTTTTCATAGGAAATGATGTTTAAGAAAATTTATAACCGATCTAACACAGTCTATTATTTTAGCTTCATTTTACAGTGCAAGCCAGATATCAATCACATGTTACAGATGTCATTTACTATAAGATTTTTTAGATGTAGAAGACATGGTCATAAAATAACATTTTCTTAGCTATAAGACTGTGATAGAAACTAGAGTAAAGAGTTCTAATTTGACATCAATCTCTCCAGTTCAGTTATGTGTGTGGCAGCCCGAGTAGTTGCTATCCGATATTTACCAAGAATAAATAAATAAACCTGCACAGCATTTATTCGCTATTTACTCTATTTGCTTTATTAGGTTGAATGGATTGCAACCTGCAAAGAGTTGACTTGCAATCAAAGCGGCCCCTGGAGCTATTTAGGTTGGCTACCCCTGATCTAAACCTTCAACAAACACCAAAAGAAAATGAATAAAATATAGCAAAGATAATGCAGCTATTTACAGTTTTAATAGGGTGATGATTCTTTTTTCTTTTCTTTTTTTTTTTTTACAAATGAATGACTAAAAACATAGAATAAAACAAGACTATCTTTTCTTGAAGCCATATTTCTTTCTTTCATAAAACAAATCCGTTTTGGCACTACCAAGGTTGACAATCTTTGGACATCCGTCTCTCTGGAAAAACAGAATACAACTGACATTAAACCATTGAGTGTAATATAAACAATTGCAGTAGATTAGACTGGTATAGCTTATATTTAAAAACAGCTAAACACTCAGCAGAAGTATAACGCCCATTCATAATTACTATACATAAATTAAAACCTTATTATTTAAAAAAAGATTTGGTTTAGACATCTATTTTTTTGTTTAAGTGACACTGGAAGTGGAAGCAACTGCAAAATGATGTAAAGGCTATTAGAAGGTGGACCTGCATATATGAACAATAGTGTACAATTACAACTACTCTGGTCGACTGGGTCACTCTAGCCACCAAAAAAAAGACAAAATGTAAAAAAATTTAATACGCTGGCCCAAGCGATGTTACAAAATTGTCAATTTTCACACGAACAGTGTCTAATAACATACATTTTTTTCAGGAAAAAAACCCACTAAAAGTAGGGAAAACACTATATACTTTTTAATATAATAGCTTACTATATATATAAGAATGAGCTAGGCTGAGCATAACGCCAAATAAACTATTTAAATATGTTCGGATTCTTAAAAACAATGATAGTGATTTTCAAATATTTTTAGGAAATCTAAATTTAAAATGCGCAAAAAATAAAATATATCCACTTTATTTTAGTAAATGTTTAAATACTATTATTATAAATTACAAATACATTTAAATAAAAAAAATTAAAGGAAATATTTTAAGTATTTTATTTGAGTTTGAAGGTTATGAAAAAATTTTTATTGAAGAATTACATCGTAATCGCATTTATTGGAAAAACCCAAACAGCTGTTGCTTTTAGAGCGTTCTTAATAATGCAAAATAAAATTAAAATTAATTTATTTTAAATAAGCACACTAATGACATCCTTGCGTGAATAGCCTATTTTAGTCAAAGCTCTACTTTTCTTTGATTTAACAACCGGACGTCACTTGATTGCTGTTTAAATTGTTAATAAATACAACAAATTTTAGCTTTGTATTTTTAACATTTAATAAGATTATATATTATTTTTTTTGCATTCCAAAAATATATCTCTATCAAATTTATAACATACCGGTAATAAAAAGTTAACCGCTAAGTATACTAATACTTTTAATAAGAATATGCTGTTTACTTTAAGTCAATTAGTTCAGCAAAACGTCATAGCTAAATGGGATTCATTAGTGCATGCATCACTAAACAAATAAGAACAAAGCACACGAAGTGCAAAAAATGTGTAATAGCGTGTAGGGGGCTACAATCTCATGGATGATTTTTTGTCGAATTTGTTTTTTTCTTTATACTTTCACTTTTCCCTAAGCAGCACAAGATACGCCTCAGAATAAAGGCATGAATTCGATAATTAATTAACCTTCTTGATAATTAATTAACCTTCATAGTTACAGTACCGGTATATAAATATTTGGGGTATGAAACAGGATGTTTACATTTTTACATGATGACAATACCTTTAAATCCTATGATATTACAGTTGTGTAAAAGAGGTTTTACTCTCTTTTAACAAATAAACTTATGTTTTCACAATTAAGAAAATCAATGGCGTTAACAAAACTTGGGTACATTTAAATAAGTATGCCCGTGAATATTAAAACCCAATCATTTTACACACATGAAAATTTATATTTGAAAAATAGAGATAGGTTAAGACTTTCTTTCATAAAATATTTTTATTTTTTACTTTGCAAAAAGTAACGTGGGTGTATTATGAAATTAATAACATTTCTGTAAAAAAGACACTAAAGGCTTTTACAGATGGGATGATGGTTACAAGATTTTTCTTTTTCCACAATTTTTTAGGGGAAATTTTTTTTAGTTCAGGGCCATGAAATGTAGCAGGGTAGGTCCAACATTTCACAATTTAAAATTTAAAAACACATGACATCTAAAGTATTTCTCTAGCGTATAAATATTAGTGATCTTTTAGGTTTGGTAATTTAAGGTCATGTTTAGAGAAAAAAAGTGTAGCTTAGCAGTACAAAAAGGGGTTGGGTAGGCTTCGAATATATAGCAGAAAACGAGTTCTTAAAAATTTTAATGTTAGAAACGTAAACATCATTACGAAGTTACTTCTTAAAATAAGGAATTGGAATGAGTTTTTGCAATAGCAGGTAGAAATAATCGCAAATTGCCTGCTATTATTACATCGATAACATTGGATATTTTTTAGTTGGCAGAGGCTCTGGTCCACAATATGGGACTATGTTGGCAGAGGCTCTGGTCCACAATATGAGACTATGTTGGCAGAGGCTCTGGTCCACAATATGAGACTATGTTGGCAGAGGCTCTGGTCCACAATATGAGACTATGTTGGCAGAGGCTCTGGTCCACAATATGAGACTATGTTGGCAGAGGCTCTGGTCCACAATATGAGACTATGTTGGCAGAGGCTCTGGTCCACAATATGAGACTATGTTGGCAGAGGCTCTGGTCCACAATATGAGACTATGTTGGCAGAGGCTCTGGTCCACAATATGAGACTATGTTGGCAGAGGCTCTGGTCCACAATATGAGACTATGTTGGCAGAGGCTCTGGTCCACAATATGAGACTATGTTGGCAGAGGCTCTGGTCCACAATATGAGACTATGTTGGCAGAGGCTCTGGTCCACAATATGAGACTATGTTGGCAGAGGCTCTGGTCCACAATATGAGACTATGTTGGCAGAGGCTCTGGTCCACAATATGAGACTATGTTGGCAGAGGCTCTGGTCCACAATATGAGACTATGTTGGCAGAGGCTCTGGTCCACAATATGAGACTATGTTGGCAGAGGCTCTGGTCCACAATATGAGACTATGTTGACAGAGGCTCTGGTCCACAATATGAGACTATGGTCCACAATATGAGACTAAGTTGGCAGAGGCTCTGGTCCACAATATGAGACTATTTTGGCAGCGGCTCTGGTCCACAATATGAGACTATGTTGGCAGAGGCTCTGGTCCACAATATGGGACTATGTTGCCAGCGGCTCACCTGTGCTAGCTTTGTCCCATTGGAGTTATTACATTTCACAATTAAACATAACCCAATAAAAGAATAACTTTTGGACAACTAAAAGTGGTTTCCTTTGATGCACCATATTAACTAATATAAAATCAGAAATGAGGCCTTGGAAATTAAATTATTTTTTCTGCGTTTTCAGCCAGCTGAAATGGTAGACTACAAAGGGGAAAAGAAAAGATTTTAAGAAAGTTATTATGCAATAAAGGTTGAATAAGTTTAATTTGAAACGTCTCTTTAATATGTGCCCTGTTTTATAGTACCAGTATTGCCATTTTAAAAAAAAACAACATCATGAATGGTTTGTTGGTTTTTTGCATTTTAATTAAAAAAAGGCGTGGGGCCTGTGCTACATTTAATACCGGTACAGGAAGGTGGGGAGATGACAGAACCACAAAACTTCCAATATATACTTAAACATATCTTTTCAGTAGATGAAAAATACATTTTTATACCCCCCTCCTCTAGCCCCCTCTCATTTTAATTACACAACAGACTAATAAGATATAAAAAGATATAAAAATCTATGAGATGCAATTTGTATGTGTAAAATATCCATAAACAACAAACATATTGACAAGAGATGAAACATTTGCCACTCCCTACATCTTTTTCCATTATTGTGCACTCTTTACAGTAGTATGCATCAGATACACCTGGACCTCCACAAATGACACAACGTCCCTGATAGGATCCATAGTTGCATTCATCACAAATCCTTACAAGAGTACAGGGTCGTACATATGAGTCACAAATGACACACTTTCCATCACCTGTAAAGAAGAATGAATGGTAAAATCTACCGTAAAATCTACAACTACAAGTAATAATGTAAAATGCTAATTGTAATTATATTTATTTAAAATACACAAATACAATTTCTTCAACAACTAACTGACAGTAACTTGATATACAATCGAGAACAGAAAAGTATGTCAACTCCTCAATACATAAAAATCACTGGATTTATTTTAATTTTTGAAAGAATTCAAATTCGTGATAAGGCTACATAAATATTACAATTGCGAAGACATACAATTTTTAACTATGAGCAGAACATCTGCAATGAAGAAATCAATTACTAAGTTTAAAAAATGATACAGTAAAGCTTCTACAGACAAAGTTGACATTCATTTAATTATATGAATTAATATACAGTATTAATTTTAGGCTACTCACATTTTTCACAAAGTCTACCGATTGCTGAAGTAAAAAAAATAATATGATTACATCAGCGCTATGCAAAAAAAAACCCTCAAAATTATGCAATGATTCACCCACCACTTCTTCAAAATAAAAAAGAATATTTTAAAACATCTTAGAGCCTTTTTTGATTCAAGAATAAATTAAAACACTTTTGACATCAGGGTATTAGAGGCAAGTTATCTAGTCTTTACAATGCATATTACTGAAGATTTCAGAATATTCAATGGCTGAACCTCTAATTTTGTCACTAAGGCAGTCTTTAAGAGATACATAATTGAAAAAAATTCTGTTTCCCAGATGACTGAAATTTTAGGGGTAATTATTGTTTTAGGGATAATTATTGTTTTAAGGATGATCATGATGTTTTCAATTATTTTAGATAACCATGTTGATGTGTGGCCTTATGAATGAGAGCTGAAATAAGGTTGGTGGCAGAATAAGTTTGGACAAATGAAGACCATCATTTCATATGCAGTATCTAAAAAGTCTTCATGTGACTGGCAGAGGCAATATAGATGGTAAAAAGTATGGAGTTGCTTCATTTAATGATAAATACAATAAGCAACCATGGCTGTCAGAGGTGAATAATCAGTTTTCTTTTAAGAGAAGGGTAATGTTCAGAAAGTTGAACTAATTCTCCGAGATTTAAGAAGCAAATTAAATAGATGGATGGAATGAGTTTAGAAAATTAATTTGTTGGAGTCTAATTAATGTTAATGAAGCCAATAATGTTACTGGCATATCATTTTAGGATAAAAAAAGTGATCCATAAAAAGCAAGGTCAGTTATGGTGTCGGGTCAAACAAGTCAGAGATGTGTCTTAAAGTGTGCCAAGCCAGGTGACAAATGATACCAATACAATTATCATATTATAGAATGGCTTGCAAGGCACTCTCTTTTAGTATTTTTGAAGTACACAATGGATTCCAACTGCAGTGTTCAAACTCACTAACTTCAATTAGGTAGCTGAAAAAATTATAAATGAAAAAGCACCAACGTCCAAAAACTAAAAACGCACTACATTTCCCATACAAATTTTGAAGTAGCCTCCCTTGAGTACCTTGCTTTACCTAAGTGAAAGTGCCTTTACAATGTATTTGTAATTGCATTAGAGTCATTAAAATTTTAATGTTAAAATTATAACTTTTAATACCTAGAATTAATCCTAAAAATAAAAATTGTACCAAATTATCATTTAAACATGAGTTTAAACACGTGACACGATTAGTTGCTTTTGGGTCACTAAATGTGGATCCATAATAAAAAAAAAGTACAAATTAACTCAAAATTTTATTTCTCAAAAAGTACTAAAGCTAGAAAGATACACCTGAACTCTGGTTCATTTCAGGTCATTGAGACTTCATGCCAAATATCTAGATGGATACAATGAAGTAGCTACGTTCACAACAAACCCATCGCTCCCGTCTCCAGCATGGACATTTGTGACAATTTAAATTTCCTGTTGTCTGCTTAAGTAGTTCTGGTATGGTAGTGGATGCTGTCTATCCAAGTAGGATGTAATTACCGACGCTATGTGGCAGTTTTACCCGTGACGCGAACAGCGGAATTGGGTCACATTTTTGGAGATGCATTCCATTATTTTAAAAAAGGACAAACGAAATCGTAATTTAAAAATTCATAACTTTAAAACTTAGTAATTCAAACTCAAACTAAAACTAAAAGTCCCAATATTAAAGTTAAAGTCAACTCAAACATTATAATTTATAATTATCCATTATAACATTTTTAGGGATGAACAATCCTTTTAACGATATCTACAGATAAAATCTTAACATTTATTAATTTGTACATTGTTAACGAAAAATGTAAGGGATCTAAATTAAAATAATTCTTACCAACTCCGGGTTGTTTTCGACAGAAAATTAAATCTGGATGATGCTTCGCCATGTTTTTTGTGTGCACTGTGCCAGATAATCATTTTGTCGTTATTGTACAGTTTGCTTCTTATCATTTCATATAAAATTGAAAAGTGGCATAGAAATAAAATATATAATAAAACAATGTGTTATATAAAATTTAATTTATTTAATAATACATATTATATTACTTGCAACTTTGCATAACTTCCTTATTAATTTAAAAAAAAATTATGTACAAAAAAATAAATTATACTGAATTGAAATAGAGCAAAAAGCCTGGCTAAATATATGTTTCTTTGATTTTCCTTACGCAAGAGTGATTACAGCGGTACCAGACCTAGGGAAATTGCTGCAGTTCTTGGGAATTAACTACCACATTGGGGAACGAGAACAATGTAATTGTGGACTATTGTTATTGAGAAGGAAAATTATAAGAAATTAAGTCGTATGATAAGCAAAAATGAAGGGAGGGGGACATTTGCTTCGACGCTCTCGATAAAATGGAGGAGCTGATTAAAACTTTTTATCAACCTGATCAGTGGCCTAGTAAAGATTAGTGAAGTCCGGGGCGGATCAAGACTTTTGCCACCCTCACCACGAAAAAACTCCGCCCCCCCCCCCCGTTCCTACGCCACTGACCCAAGTTATAAGCTTAGGACTGGTAGACATTTAAATGTAGACCTAAAAATTTAAGACCATAAATTTGAATAAAAGCCGCATCCTTTTTAGGTGCATTAAATTCTTCTCTCTTTGACACGGCGCATGTTTCTTGTGACAAAGTCCGCGATTTGGCGGTGACTATGGTAGGTTTGTCAGCGAATAGCTTATCGGTAGACCTCTTTTTCGGTGACTTTGGTCTTTTGGCGGTGGCGGCAATAGGCGTTTGTGGACCCGTCCCCAAGGAGGCGGTGACTATGAATATGCCGTCCCCTGAGCCTGAGTTTATTTGACTGATATAGATCCCCTTTGTTTATTCACTAGTTAACTTTTCGTTTATATATATAGTATTACAAAATTTGGCTTTAATAGGAACTTCTGACAAATTATTTACACTATGAGACTTTTTTGGTGTTGTCACGCTGCTTGATTCGATTTAACAACAAGTAAACATTTAAGCAGAATTGTATCCATGGAGATGTAAGTTCACTACTGTGGAAAAACATTTTGTAGAAACGAAATGTTTTTTTTTCATAGGAAATGATGTTTAAGAAAATTTATAACCGATCTAAAACAGTCTATTATTTTAGCTTCATTTTACATTGCACGCCAGATATCAATCACATGTTACAGATGTCATTTACTATAAGATTTTTAGATGTAGAAGACATAGTCATAAAATAACATTTTCTTAGCTATAAGACTGTGATAGAAACTAGAGGTCAAGGATTGTATGCAAGTAAAATTTATTCTTTTGACCCCCCCCCCTCTTATCAACAACTGTCAAACTTTCAATGATCCCCCCCCCCTAAGTAATTATGTCAACATTTCTATACCCCCTCCCCCCCAACTTAAAAATGAATTATAATATAAATAAATATAAACATACGTTTTACTTTGTTATGATCTATTTAAATAACAAAAAATTGTAGGAAAAACATTTTATTGCATCTTTAGCTTATTAATCAACAAGTTAAAATTTTATAAAACTAAAAATTACAGAACTATTTTAATCTACACTCATTAAATTTGTTTAAATAATGCAATAACTAGTCAACTTTTAGGATAAAAATTTTAATAGAGAAAATATGATTGTTGAAGTCAGCTAATCTAACCCCCTTCCTCTTGACAACCATTTTCAAACATTTCCACCCAGAGGCGCAGCGAGGGTGTTTGGCACCCGGGGACGAGATTCGCGCCGGGGACAAGATCCATTTTAAAACGCCCCCTTTTCTTTTTTTCAACTCTCAAACCCATTATTTTTACCAATAATATAATATCAAAGCACATTTTGGCGCCCCTAACTAGCTTGCGCCCGGGGACATCTGTCCCCCCTGACCCCCCTCGCTATGCCTCTGTTTCCACCCCCACCCCCTATTTTGTTGACATAATTAATGAACGACTCCTATGGACTTTCCCTTAGACTGTTTTTTTTTTAATGAAATTTATAATATGCTACGAGTTACAGAAGGCCTACACGAATTAATCAAAAATCAAAATTTGTAAACGTTTTTTTTTACTACTCTAATGTGGGCGCCCCATGCCTGCACCACTTTGCATGTCCTTTCACAACGTCTGGAAGATTAAATGTATGATTTTAATATCTGGGGAAATACATAGGCCGAACCTGGGGAATTTAAAAATATGAATGGCAGCATTTACCCAGATGGATTCGATTATGATTGTTTTTGGTTGTTTTCGATTACATATCCTTCTAGTACAAGTCTGAGTTATCTACACACGTTTTAATCTCCTGCTAAAGAAATGTGTAACAGACAACTCTTTCATATTTAAGCCAAAATAATTAAAATAAATAGGTTAACTTCATTTTAAAATTAAAAGGAAATTAAACTTTATTGGAATACCTTGAAATATGATTGACGACGAGGCTGATGTTTCTTTTAAAGAGTTGGTAAGTTTTAGCTACACGATATTTATAATTATAATTTATAATGAATAATAATGTCTGTACTACTGTAACTGTACTGTACTCTGATGAGTCTGATGACATTATTAATTATGATTATGAATCATGAATATCATGATACTGATTGTAAATTATTATTGACTAAAACTAAATAGTAAGGAATTGAAAGATTGTTGTGGTTGTATTGACGGCTATGGCCCTCATCATTGTCAATAGTATAGTATTAGTATGGCTAAAAATATTAATTTATCATGTAGATGTACCTGGGTAATCCCTCCTTATACTAGAAACTAGAAGCCCTAAAAACTCATGAGACATGATAAATTAAATAGATAAATTAAATAGTGGAACAAGCTGATATTATTAGTGTTAGTCAGTCTTGAAAAGGAAAGTAAAGAAAAGATAGAACAGTTAATTAGAATTAGAGGGACTTTTAATTTTGGTAAATTTACGCAATCTGTGCCATGGCATTTTGCATAGCCGCCTTTGTGGTTGTCATGACCTGTGCCTATGAAGGTCACAAGTTATGCAACCAAGATTTTGATGGGGGCTGTGTAAAAATCAAAGTGACACTAACACACGTCTGGTAAATCGGGGAGGGTAAAGAGGATGAAAATGAATTTTCAAACAAAAACTCCTTTTATAAAAATGATCAGACCAGCAAATGGACCTCACTTTTATAAAATAATTAACCTCTCTTTGAAACATTAATTTAAAAAAGTCATCAATCAAAGCATTCCATTGGCATATTAATATTTAAAAAAAGAAAAGTCAACTCAATTAACAATTCAAAGCTAAAAAAAAGAAGGGTTCACACTGATTCACACATACACAGAAACTCAGGGTGGTGCCGGAGTGCCTTAATCACAAATTAGGATTTTGATCGCTGTTCTGTTCTTATGAGATACAAGTTTCTCTCGCCCACCCCACCCCTGTTTTTTTAATACATTGATACAAATGTGAAGGACTTTTATTGAGTGCATATATTGCAAGAGGTTCTGAGTTATTCTCATCTTATTATTTATTCTTTAACCAATCAATAGACAACAATTTTAGCCATGCACGCATATATTTTACCTGTGGCTGTTTGGCTTGAATTTCTTTCTTTTCTTTAGAACCTTGTGAGTTGAATTTTAATTAATACATATGGAAAATTTCATTTGTATACAGTATACTGGTATATTACATATAAACGCTATAGGTCTTAGGTTATGACACAAATAGTACTCCTTAAAGAACAGGAAAGCTACCATACACGTCATTCAGTGCCAACTATGGAACGATCTACAACCAACAAGATTTAGTGAATCTCTGCAGCAAGGAGTATACATAGGTCATAGCATGCTTATTTAACTATCTTTAGAACTTGTTGCTGCAGTCCTTTGTATTCACACTATAATCCATTCAAATCTTAGACAAAAGAAGAGATTTCTGCATTGACTTGAGTCTCAGCTATTTGACTTGGTCTGGACTATAAGAAATCTATAGTTTATGTAAGTTTTATAGCCCTAAGGGTTTTTCTTACAGGGTGTTGTGGATGTTCTGGCGGAGGCTTGTGAGAGACTTAAATGGACGAAACCAACAAAGATTCAGAAGGAAGCTATTCCTCTTGCTTTAGAAGGTCAGTTCTTTAGGGATGCAGGGAAGGTAATCCAAAAGTTTTCCTACATAAATTCATAAATCATGCAATTTTATGAGAGAGCTCTTGCTTCATCACAACAATGCTCTACATGTCACTTTTTGTAACCCCCTCAAATTTTTATAGTTATTTTTTAAATAGCTTATTTTTTTCTAATAACAAATTATAAATTTGACATCACTTCATCTAATTAATCGTAAATGTTTTCCACATAACCCTACATGTATAATAAAGGTTTTTTAATATTTTTTTAGGCAAAGATGTTATTGGTCTTGCTGAGACAGGATCTGGAAAGACTGGTGCATTTGCTTTACCCATTTTACAAGCATTGCTGGATAAACCTCAGAGGCTATTTGCTCTTATCCTTACACCAACTAGAGAATTAGCGTATCAAATTTCAGAACAATTTACAGCACTAGGTTCAACAATTGGAATAAAGTGTGGTAAGAATCCTTGACAAAAATTTTGGCAAAAAACAATGTTCTCATTATCTAAGACCTGAACATTTTTTATAAGATGTGGAATGTTATTAAAATATTTGTTATCTGTAATTAAATCTTAACGTAATCCCTTGTGTTTTCAATATCATGTTGTTCCCAATGAAAGCAGTTGTGTCACAAGTATATTGGGCCTTCTTGTCCTGAATATGTAACTTCCATTACGTGGTACCCCAGTATATAAAATGATAACTTTTATGATGAGGGCCTCTGTCAGCTAATAGTGAAAGTAAATTATAGAACAATTCTGATCTTCAATTTTAACAGTTCTTTTTAAAAATAGACATTTTGTGATAACTCCGTTGTTGGTTTTAACCAGTTTTGAGGAGTGAGCTACACTGTTTCATACTAAATAACTAATATCTTCTTTCTTTAGCTTGATGCCTTTTATTTTATTCTCTTAAGCTGTCATTGTTGGTGGTATTGATATGTTTGATCAAGCACTGATGCTGGCTAAGAAGCCACACATAATTATTGGTGAGTTTTTTTAAAATTCATTTTCATCATCTTTGCCTAAGAATATAGAATTTTCAATGAAAAGTTTTGAAACCTGGTTCTATTTTATGGTTTAAAACACTAATCATTTTTGTTCCAGCAACCCCAGGGAGACTGGTGGACCATTTAGAGAATACCAAGGGCTTTAGTCTGAGGGCTTTGAAATTCCTGGTGAGTAAAAATCTCAATAACTCAATTTTTAGCCTTCTGATTTCTATTGCTTTAAAGAAAATCATTAATCCAATTACAGGTTTTAGTGGGCCTCATCTTACACATATGTAAAATAAAATGAACTCTGAAACAAGTAGTTTTAATTTCAAAAGGGGTCAACCAATCATTATGTATGCCAAAGTAGTCAAATTTATGCCCCCCACCCCCGGTTGCACCTTTACTTTTTTGGGAACACCCCTATGTTTATGTTCAATAAATCCTTACCCACTACCTAAAGAATAAATATTTATTAATCATTATGACATTCAAGACATTTAAATTAAGTCAAGTCACAATAAACCAGTGTTTCCTAACTTGTATAAAGTCTCTGGGAAGTACTTTTCTTATTTATATGGATGGGTGGCATTTTCAGCCAAATGCATTTTTTTTTTATGTCGGGGAGTGGGGTAGTTTGCAAAAATCTTTACCACCCTCAGATTCGTCATCTGGGCCATGTAAGGGGTCTAAAGTTGTGATGTGGACAAATATTAAAATATGGTAGTGAAATTTAAATGCAGCGTACACAAAATCCTAAAGTGGAAGGAAGGCCTCCAGAAGTCTTTTGTCTTTTCTGTCTGCCCAGGGCTGCACTAACCTTAGCTACACCATTGCTCTGCAATATAGGATACATTTTAAAGTGATCAGCCATTTATTACTTAATTTGTTTTTGCCTTGTTTATGTTTATGACTTGTTTATTAAAAGTCCAATCTCTTTGCCCGTTATCAATATGACTTTGCTTACGTTCTATCGAATCTGTATATATTTGTCAACATTGTTTTGTCATGAATTACATTTTCTGGATTGGCAAAGTCTAAAATTATATTTCTTATAAAATTTATGTTATTAAAAGTGTGTCCAGTATGAATATTGAACAACTAGTTTTACATTATTTAAATAATCTTTATGCTTGTTTACCATATATGTGAAATATTTTACTTTCTAAATCAAATTGAAACCTTTATGATGTCATTGTTATCTTAATTACCAGGTCATGGATGAAGCTGACAGAATCTTGAATATGGATTTTGAACAAGAGGTTAGTTATATTATGCTCCATGTTTTGCACGACAACAAAGTTTGGAGTCTATGTACAAAGACTGTGGATATGTTCATCTAGTTCCTACAATTTCAGTTGATATTCTTGAAAACTTCAAACTTTTAATTAGTTTTCTTTAACTTTTAATTTTTTTATGTATAGCCGGTATTTACAGCTATACTTTTTCAAATACTTTTCAGGTTGATAAGATTCTGAAAGTTATCCCAAGAGAAAGAAGAACGTTTTTGTTTTCAGCAACAATGACTAAGAAGGTTTGTCTCTAGTATCTAGTTATTTTGAAATAATTTAACATGTTAAAGGTTATCTGAATTTTTTAAAAAGTACAGGTAATAATAATTCTGTTTTATTTTAAGGTTCAAAAACTGCAACGTGCTTGTCTATCCAACCCAGCAAAAGTAGAAGTGAACACTAAGTACAAGACAGTGGACAACTTAGTACAGTCATATCTATTTATACCTGTGAAATTTAAAGTAAGCACTGGATACCTGACATTTTTAACTGTTCTCCTGTTTTTGACAAATATCTAAGTTAGATTGTAACACATTTCCAAACTTATGGGGTAAAGTTTAAAGTTCAATAAAGTTTATAACAGAGCTTCGTGAACTATCTAATATTTTGCATCTGCTGACTCCTAAATCAAGGATGTTTACTTGGTCTACATTTTGAATGAGCTTTCTGGAAACACTTTCATCATCTTCTCAAGCACCTGCAACAATACACAAAGACTTGCCCTCATGTTGAGAAACTTGGGATTCAAAGCAATTCCACTGAATGGACAGATGACGCAGGTGGGTACAAAGAATTTCTTCTCCTCCTCCCATATAAGTTGGGGGTTGCATCAGTTGAATATGCAAATTGTTGATTAGTAAATTGTGGAAATGTGCTTGTGTAAAAAAAAATTTCTCTTATATTTATATTGTATAGAATTAAATTATTTAGCTGTATGTCAGATTCTTTTTTCCTTGTACTGTTTCATGTTCTAGAATTCACAATATCAGGAAGGGAGTATGAGTCATGGCTGCTTTAAATCCATGATTGGATTATCTGTTTTTGTGAATATGGAGACTATTTATTTGGTTTTGCCTGTATCTATTAATTATTATATTGTCACAGTAATACAAAGAGGATCATTTATTGATCCATCATTGTCCTCAACTGTCACAGTGATCCGGGTTATTATTTTTTTAGGTGTTACACCTAATATGATATTAATGGTATATGTTCTTGAATTATGTTTCGATATTAATTTTTAAAGGAAAAAAGACTTGGGGCCCTAAATAAATTCAAGAGTAAGAGCAGCTCTATTCTCATTGCCACAGACGTTGCCAGCAGGTATGGTTTTTCTGATTCTGGTTATTGTTATATACTTATTATTATAATTATAGACTAACAATAGGTGAATATATAATGTCATTGTTGGTTGAGTTCAGTATGTTACCTGTGGAGCATCATAATACTTTTTTCATTTCAGAGGTCTTGACATTCCACATGTGGATGTAGTGATAAATTTTGATATCCCCACACATTCAAAAGACTACATCCATAGAGTTGGTCGGACGGCAAGAGCAGGTCGGGCAGGGAAAGCCATTACTTTTGTAACTCAGTGAGTAACTTGGAGCATAGCCATGCTTATTAATTTGTCAGAAATACTTAACTGCTGCATGTTTCTCTACTGGTTAACAGTTCAAAGTTAACAGTCTAATTGGTGTATGTTTGCCTCATTCAGGTCAAATTGTGACTTAATTTAATTCAAAAGTTCAATTCCTTAAGGCTGGTTACCAGAGTTAATTACTAACTCCACTGAACATAATGGAGTAACTCAATTTTCATTTGAAATATTTTGACTTAAAAAAGTTCCTAAATGTCAATGGGTTTTGTGAAACAGCAGTGAGAGATTGGTTATGTCACACTGGGCCACATTGCGCATTTAATCATAGCCTGTTGGAATGCGATAATTAAACTTTCACTCGTTAATACATTTATTTACACTTATTCAGTGCAGACATTTGGTTGCTTTTAATTTATAATCAAGTCAAAGGTTATTGAGCTGAGCAACAATTTCTAAAAAAAATGTACTTCCAAGGTGAACAATTTCTAAAAATATATCAGCTACCGTGTGTGAAACAAATGGTTGTCTCCTTAACGTAATTTGTTTAAAAAGTTACTTCTCATAAACTGAGAAGTTCATGCGACTGAATGTTTATATCCTTAGGTATGAAGTTGAACTTTACAAGAGGATTGAGGAACTCATAAAAAAACAACTTCCTCTCTATAAAACAGAGGAGGAGGAAGTTATGCAGTTAGTTGAGCGAGTCAGTGAGGCTCAAAGATATACCAAAATTGTGAGTACAACTAAAGTGCACATTTAGAGAACTCAACCCATTGGCTAATTCAAGTATTGGTACTAACTTTTAACTTTAGCTCTCTGACACCTGAAAGCTATGCATGGGAAGATCATAATTAAGTATATCTACCCTAATCTTATGAAAATAATTGTTTAAACCACTAAACATCATGCAATTTTAACAAAAAACAAACATTTAAGTATAGAAAATGAATGAAATTAAAAAACATATTTATAAATGATCATTAATAGTTTTAAAAATTTCCGCTTCATTTTAGTGCATGGTTTTAGGTGAATTTAGGTTTTGGAAAAGCATATCTTGCAAAGGTTCCACTTTACACATAAGACAGCCAGTTGTCTCCCTGGTTCTACCACTCAGCATCTTGTTATCATCAATGGAATAAGTGGTAACATCAATAATTTCTGCCAGGAGTCTGTCTCACACGGGCCGGTGGTTTTCCAGGCACATCTGTTTGTTTCGCATGGCATAAACTGCACCATTTCATAAGTCATAAACATTCAGAAATAATCTGCCATTAGTAGGACGGTTATGAATTCCACCTTCTATTTCTGTAAATCTTTCTATCTGATAAGCTGACATTAGTCAAAATGCCTGAACCACACTCTGTGACATTGTTACATCATATTCATCAGTATCATGATTATCAAAGATTCTGATTCTAATGGCAATGCAATCTCCTTTAAATATTCAAAATCATAGACTCATCCCCATGGTAAGAATTGTTTATGAATTAAAAAAAGCACTAGACCAGCAATCATAATAAAACTGAAAAGTAATAAACGGACATCAAAAAAAATTCACTAAAACTAGTCCAACTTCAAACAAGATAGCTCACTGAGATAAAAAAAAAAACGTCTTTTGGAAAAAAAGAGAAAAGAAATACCAGGTACCGATACCCAATTTTCAAGTATCAATTCTATTTGCACAGAGTCAAGGCTTTTCATGATATGGAAATGTTATGTTTCTGATTACTAGGTTTTTTGTGTGTTTTTTTTTTTTTTTTTTTTTTACCAAAATTTACCTTTTTTATTTCAGGAAATGAAAGATGCAGAAGCAAAGAAGCTGGCTGCAAGAAAAAAGAAACGAGGGCAAGATGATGATGACACAGAGTTTCTATTTGCACAGAGTCAAGGCTTTTCATGATATGGAAATGTTATGTTTCTGATTACTAGGTTTTTTGTGTGTTTTTTTTTTTTTTTATTTTTACCAAAATTTACCATTTTTATTTCAGGAAATGAAAGATGCAGAAGCAAAGAAGCTGGCTGCAAGAAAAAAGAAACGAGGGCAAGATGATGATGACACAGAGGAAGCAACAGGTGTGAGAGAGAAATTTAAGAAGAAGCGAAAGGCATAACGCCCAGATAGAGAGTTATGTAAATATATGTTGTGGCCTTTGCATTAGTTGACACTGAATATCGGACTGATATACCTGACTCACAGGACTTAACATTAACATGAATAAAAAAATAATTTTTTCAAACATATGGTTTTCTTCTTCTATCCCATGTTTGTATGAAATGTACAACAGATTAATGTTGGAGGCACAATGCCCCTCACTCAAAAGATACAAAACATGACAGACACATCAAATAAACTTTGACCACTTGCAAATTGTGATAGGGCATGAGGGACAATGGTTCCTACCCACAGAGGATAATAAAATATATCACCCCATCTGGCCTTGACAAATCTTGACCAAGCCCATAACTAAGTCAAACCCATAACCGAGTAAGCCCATGAGTCAAAAAGTAAATACAATGCAAAGCATTATTGGGAATTTTCCTTTTAATAACAAAATAGACAAGGCAACACTAAAAACATAATACAAGTGTATATGTTCACTTTGTAGAACAATAAATACTGATGAAGTTCAGCTGTGAATTTTTTTTCTAAAAAATAGTGTCAATGATACATGTCAGTTATCTTTCTGTCCATGAAGTTTATTTGTATATAATATAATTTGATATGATGAAATGAAATGTCAGTTAATGAAGTTCATATTGAAACAAAATGTTATTTGTACCAGTGGGCATATGTACCGTTAATGTTCCTTTCATCCGTTCCAAGTTAACTTCTTATCACCTAGATACTTACGTGCTTCTGGTAGCTTTTTACAATTATTTTCTTGTTGTGGGATCTGCAAACTGGAAATCAACAACCATTTCTTTGGTTTTTGTGACATTCAACTGAAGAACATTTCATCTCACCAATGGTTGAGGCATAAACTTTTTAAACTTTATTAAGTCAACCATGGTGGTATCATCAGCTAATTTAATTATTGGAACAGTGTTACTTTGGTTCAGTATATCATTAAATGTGTAATAATAAATTATTAAATATTATAATTTTCATACACAGGACAGCTATCATAATTCATGTTATGAATAGCATATCAATATCATGTATTTTCATGTTCAGAGAGAAGTAATTTTGAAACTAAATAATACTAGTTATATATTCACATTGCATTTAATAAGAAATCTTGAAACAAAATACACTGTTCTGAGGTTAATAAAATCATCAAAGGGACATTTCTCAGTAAGTTAGTTTATAACCAGTTTGCAATTTCCTCTCACAATCTACAGAGCTTCCATCTGAAATTTTGGTGATAATGCATGCCATGAACAATATTATCAACTGAATAACTCAAAACTAATACTATACTATAATAGTAATAGGTCAGGTGACATTCAAAAACTAAGAAAGTGAATTAACATCCAATTAAAAAATCCCTAAAAAAAAGTCCTATAAATCTTTTATATGCATATTTTATTATCTTATATTAATATTCTAACGTCCCACCTACTTTTACACCGCAGATTAATTTCACCAAATATTTCAGAAAAAACAAAAGGCAATATTACACACCAAATGCACTTGAAATATTTTTTAAACATAATCTCATTTAGTACAGTTATCTGGAATTTTATTTCATGAAATCATTGGCCTCTCCATATTTCCTTCATCTTACCCTGGATAAACAGGAAAAACTGATTTGTTGGGGTTGGGGCTGAAAATTTGATAGAATGTTTTGTCATCGGCAATGAGTCTATGTGTCAAGTTTCAGCTAATAGGTGGACAGAATGTGGGTCAATTAGCCGTCTGAAGATTTTTGCCACCCAGCCAGAAACATAGTAACTAAAGTGAAGTTAATATAAAGGATTTAAAAAAGTTTTCTTCTTCTAAAGGAACAATATCTGGTTTGTAACTTGCAGGCGTTTTACTTGGATGAAAGTACCGAGTACCAGTACCGGTACCTGATATATTCAAATATTGAATTTTCAAACTTCTTACTCATTAAAATGGATTTTTTTTTTACACTTGGAGAACAGTATCAATTAGATTTTATTTAAGTAAGAGAAAAGACTTTGGAACGATTTCACATTTCTAGGGTCTCTGTAATGTATGCAGTCTCAGGTGAGAGACCACATCCGATTTTCTAAGAAGAGATGCATTGCACATGATACATTTGAATGGTTTCTTCCTTGTGTGTAGTTTTGTGTGCCTTTTTAAATGCCAAGAGTCAGAAAATGCAGCTAAACACTCGTTACATTTAAATGGTTTCTCTCCTGTGTGCTGACTTTTGTGTCTTTTCAGCTTTGAACTTTCAACAAAGGCAGCAGGACAAGCGTCACATTTGTAGGGTTTCTCTTCTGTGTGCCGTCTTTTGTGCTTTTTTAAAGTTGAACCTCGTGAAAAAGTAGCAGAACAAATGTCACATTTGTATGGTTTCTCTCCTGTGTGCATTCTTTTGTGCAAAGTTAAATGTGAACTGATAACAAATGCAGCAGAACAAATGTCACATTTGTAGGGTTTCTCTCCTGTGTGCTGTCTTTTATGTACAATGTAATTTGAAGCATCAGTAAATGCAATAGAACAAATGTCACATTTGTAGGGTTTCTCTCCCGTGTGCAGTCTTTTGTGTCTTTTTAAATGTGAAGTAGATGTAAATGCAGTAGAACAAATGTCACATTTGTGGGGTTTCTCTCCTGTGTGCAGTCTTTTGTGTTTTTTTAAAGATGGACCACATGCAAATACAGCAGAACAAATTTCACATTTGTAGGGGTTTGCTTCTGTGTGCTGTCTTTTGTGTTTTTCCTCTAGTATTTTATGACAATCTGTGTCTATTTCATTCATTGAGACATCTGTATCTTTTTTTGTCCTTAAGACAATATCAATGTCTCTTTCTGTCTTAAAGACATCAGTGTCTATTTCTGTATTTGAAACATTATCAGTGCATATTTCTGTCTTTGTGGCAACATTTAAATTTGGTGTTTGGTTAATATCATCTTCTACCTCTTTCTTTAGTATTTTCTGAAAGTCTGTTTCTGTTTTTGGAACAACATCCAATTCATTTTTAAATTTGTTTGAAATAAATTTAAACTCACTAAATGTTGCCATTGTATTTGTGTAACAATGGATTTTGCCAGACTTTGATTTGTCCTGCCAGTCTAAGTAATATCTGTTTATGTTGTGCAGCAAACTTAAGTATTTTGCCTAATTCATCTTCTTAAATGTTATCTGCAATACAAAAAAAAAAAATATATATATATCTGTCAAATGCTATCATAACAAGAATTTCATATTCTTTTTAAAATTTAAACATGATCATGTAATGATACTGTAATGATAATTTAAAATGCTATAAAAGGTGTGGTCACTTTTCAAACAAAATAAATTTAGTGAAAAGTAAAATAGGTAAATTATAAGGTTAATTTCATAAATTTTCTCCAAATGGACCCAGTGAAGATGAAAAGAATTAAGTATTTCTAAGATAAGATTCTTTATTGATCCAAATAAATGGAAAAGTTTTTTTATTACATTGCACATATTAATTTTTAGAACAGAAAGAAATACCTATTTTAACCAAGACATTTTACATTTATGAAAATTTAAACACAAGACATCTTAAATATTTCTCTAGTGTAGAAATCAGCCATCAATGATCTCCTTAAGTGGCAATAATGACTTAATTAGTCATCACTAAATTTTTGGCAACAATTGCGGGAGCATACTAATACTAGTAAATGAGTACAGACTGGAGAGCAAAATTATTTGTATATCTTTCAAGAGGAGAAATAATTCTCCTTGATCGAGATGATCTTAGGTATCTGTGATCAAGGGGATAGGGTGTTTCATCCAATTTTTTTTTCGTTTTTCAACAGCATTTTTGTTAAAATAGTTCTTCAAGTAGTTTTCTTCAAGTGAAGTATGTTTAGTTTGTGTTATATTACTAGCTTTCTTGATTAGCCTACTTAATTGATGTTTGATTTCAGATTTTGAATTCCCACACCATCAGGTAATACTAGTACTGAAACTTAGTAGTAATAGGTTTCCAATTGTTGCACTGTAGAATAAGTTGATAATTTGTTTGTTTATGCCGAAATTGTATACTTTTTTAAGATCGACACTAAAAATTTAATGAGAACATTATCGACTATTTTTTAACTATTTCGTTATTAAAGATACAGAGCTCAAATTTTGAAGAGACATTTAGTTGGTACCAGGTATACCAGAACAATATTTTACATTTTTACAGAACAAAAAACATGAATTGTGAATTAGTAGATTATAATTCATAACAAAAAACATGAATTGTGAATTAGTAGAATATAATTCATAACATATGATAATTTATGCAAAAGGTGTTGGTAAAGACAGTTGTTGATATTTTCAGCACAGATAGGTTCAATCCAAAAGTAATAGAATACCAGTATTCATTTCTGGATTGAACCTATCTGTTTGTGCTGAAAAATATCATTTAAGTTGCTTTCTTTGAAAGTTATTATTTCAAATAAATATTTTTTTCTATATTTATTGAAATAATAACTTTGAAAGAAAGCAACTCAAGTGATATTTTCAGCACAAACAGATAGGTTCAATCCAAAAGTAATAGATTATTCAAATGAAAATAAAAAACTTACTTCTAAAATTAATAAATATTCATGTAATGCATTAACAATCAAATCATAGCAACATTATTGTACATTTTTACACATTAATTTTAAAATAAAAATGCTATTGGTTCAATCTAAAATTAAAAGAATCTTCAAATACATCAACAGTTGGAATTTAAAACATTTGTATCAAAGTAATATTTGTTATATAAGGATAAACCACCTCTCCCCACACAATTGTACATTAAATACAAATCATATAAATTATAAACTTATACAGAAGAAAATGTGGGAGACAAGGTACCGTAAAACCTGAAAAAAGGATGAATGAATATCATGTTCTCCTTCACTTGTTAGATCTATTCTCCATCCCTTCATTTTTACAACAAATGGTTGTGGACTTAATCTCCCCCTTCCTCCTTTTCGCCTTTATTAACTCTCTTACCCACTTAATGTCAACTACATTCCTCTTGCTGTGCTCTCGGATACAACATTTGGGCTGAGTTTTAATTTTGTATACCGGTAGTTGAGTTAGTCTTTCTTTGCTTGCTGAAGAAGGCTTCTTGCCAAAACATTTGTTGCTTTTTTGCATACTTTTTTCAGATTTTACCATTCTTTGTTGAGCACATTTCTTTCACTGCTATATGTTGAGGTATCTTTGGGGCCGTCCATAAAGTACGTCACACTCCAGGGGGTAGGGGGTGTAAGAAAGTGTGACAGTTTGAGCAAGGGGGGAAGG